ACAGATATGGCAAGCAATTATGTGTCAGTTTAAACTTTGTGTCTTTCAATATAGATTTCCTGTAAAGAACATGGATGTATTTATAGTCTTCAATTTTTGTTTAAAATGAAATTTTAGAAGGTTTTTCTGTAAACAAAGTGATATAGTAAGCCTTTATATGAAAGACAGGACTGCAACAATATGTGTGTTTTCGCTGTCTTTGTAAATGCCTTACAGAGTAACATGTCCTGATATTTTGTTGACTTTGGGGGGGAAGAGTGTTTTTCATAGAGATTAGAAAAAAATACTATGCTTACTATAATATTCTCATGGGATTGCTGGAAGGACAACAAAGCTTGCTCAGGATCCCTTATCTGAAAAATAAATCTGTGCAGAGAAATAATTTCAGTGGCAGATGTCCATTGCTAATCTTTGTAAATTAAGGGCAGTTCTGTGGGGATTCCCTATATTCCAGTCATTGTAGTCAATAATTTTTATAGAGAACAAATTGTGGCTTTTTATCAGTAGTTGAAAATTCTCCTGAATTTTCCTGAAAGCTTCCTCAACTCAAAAAGAAATATTTTACCTTTATTAAATAATTGACTCAATAGTTTTTTCTGTTCATTTTCTGCCCTTACCTTACCATTAAAAGGACTCAATTTGTTAATTGCAAACACTTTTGCCATGGTAACCATGATACACAGACTTATAAACGTTAAATGCAAAGTTTCCCTGTGATTTTTGGTTTTTTTTTTTCGTTTTTTCTTTTTGTTTGTTTTGTTTTGGTTTTGTTGGTTTGTTTTGGTTTTTTTTTCCCTTTGGCAAACAGCATGTTAGAAAGTACAGAATCAGATTTTGCATGGATTGGCTCGCTCTGTTCCCAGAGCAGAGAGAACTAATGGAAATATTTAATACTTTGCTTTTTGGCAGAACTCCGTATCAATTTACAGCCTTGTGTGTTTGCATGAAAATCCCCAAAGCATCTTCAGTGTGACTTCAAATGTTATTGTGCCCTTCATTGACTTCCTCACCTTTTCCTTTTTCCCTTCTTCTTTTTTATTTTTTTTTTTTTATATATGAATGATGATACAGTGAGGAAAACCTGAAAAAAGGCTTTTGGTGCTAGGACAGTTTTTTTAAGGATTTAGGGAGATGTTCTGGGTTATTCCTGACTAGGAAATATCAAGTCAATTCATGTTTTTCGTTTGCTTGAAAATATCAGAAGTGTGAAGTGATTTCTGATGGAAGCTGTGCTGCCGAGTCTGAGCCTGTTAGAAATGTTGAGGGTGAAATCTCTCTGGAGGTCGGAAGTTTATTAGCTTTCATCTCAGGATCTGCACTTTGAGTACAACTGAGCTCATTTTAGGTTGTTGCTGTGGAAAAACAGTGTTTTGGCATGGCCCCAAAGCCATTTTTGGGCCAATGGGCAATAAGATCCAATCATGTCTTATTTCCATCTTCTTCATCTGAAAAATTGTGTTTTTCTCTGCAAAATGTTATGGCAGTAATTGGATAAAAGAGTAAAAAAATGTAGATTTACTTATTTAAATGACTTAGTTCTGAAAGTAGATTAGATTATTTGTTAAGCTTTACCAAATATTTACAAGAAAAAGAAGTAAACATCAAAAGATCAGATTAAAGAACCTGAATACAAATATTCTACATATTAGGATATTGTAGAAAATAGAAATATTCTAAAAATATTGCACTGCTGATGCCTCAGCTGAAGCAATGTTCCCAGTCTAGGGTACCACATTTTAAACAAAATGTAAAAGAACTGAAAAGGCTCCAGGGAATGTGGGAGGAAAAAAAATTGGAGAGTGTGGTCTTGCAGGAAAAATTTGGAACAGCTTAATTTATTTAGTTCAGGACAGAGAAGAATGAATGGAGCCTAATAATGATGTGAAGTACTTAGCAGTTAAAAAAAAAAAAAGAAAAAAAGAAAAGACAGTAATTGATTGTTTTCAATATCTGCTAGATTTAGATTAAGACTGAGATGCTTAATTTTCTCTGGACATGAAAGTAACTGCAGGTGCAGGAATGAGCTTTAATATTTAGGTTGCAATTATTACAAAGTAGATAAGAGCAAGGGTTACGTGACTCCTGCCACAGAGCCCATTACTCAGTCGAGGCTGTTACTGAGCAGCTCCAGAGCTTGATCTCAGAATCCCTGGGTGGGAAGGAGAGTGCAAATCTCCAAATGCCCCGACACAGCTTCCCCTTGCCCTCATTGCAGATTGTTCCATGGCCTTTTTCCTCAATACACAAACATTGCTGATTTCTGCATTGGCTACCTGGACAGGTTTTTATCCCTGTCACTGGGGACAGTTAGGGAATGCATGAGATGTCTGTCACAAATAGCCTAAAATGTATTTTATCTGGTCTTGGAAAAGATGAATGGAGTTCCTGATCTCTGTTGGTTGCCTTAAAATATTTTCAAAGAACCATTATAATAACTACCTCTGCACACTCAAAATATTCTTGGAATTCTAAACTTATGATATTCAAATGGTTTTGGCTCTGATTTCCTTTGATGGTAAAACAGCTCTGCAGAGAGTAAGGATGGACCCTTGAGTGAACTGAATGTTCCCTCTCAGAGCAAGGACGTGTAAACATGCAACGACATTATCCTGCTGCTGAAGGGCAGCACTGTGATGGGAGCTGCATCTGCAGCATTTGCAAAATGGAGCACTTGTGTGAGGATTCAGGAATAAGTGGCTTCAGAAAAGTCTGTAGCGAGCCTGCAAGCCAGCAGGGTGTCAGGCAGTGTCTTCAGATATGCTCTGTGTACTCCTTTTGGGGCTGGTATTCAAAGCACTGTAGCATTTTTTTCCTTCAGCATTTTCTCAGCTCTCTTCTTTCTTCCCTACTGAGTAATTTAAAAAATATATGCAATAATTAACAAGTTGCTTCCTATTTTTTAAGTTTGGAAATGGATGTAGTGTTTAATTGCTGCTTCCTGGGGCAGACTGGAAAGCAGAAAACATATTTTTGGAAATGCTTTTAACGTATTTATGTTATCAGTGGCAGTGCATAGAGCAGCTGGTTTGAAAACTGCTTGTGAATTGTATACATCTTAAAGCAAATAGTAATTTGCAGTCTCTAAGATAATACAAATTTAACTAATGAAACAAAGTTGGTTGGATGGCTTTTTTATGTTTTTCTTTGAAGAGCATCACTGCTGTCAGCCACTGACTGTAGGTGCACCATAGGTCTTGGTCTAATACTGCTTCAAGAGTTAGTACAGGATGGTGAAATACTTTAAACTCACCGTATCAAGATTTTGTGATCTCACTCAGCCGTAAATAGTGGCTTTGGAATATACATATGCAAAATAAATAAACTTTTGTTGCTCTATATGAAGTCTTAGTGGATATTGCAAACAATATATACACTTACATTTTTAAAAAGTATGAAAAAAAAAAAAA